TGTTTTGAATAGTGTGCCGTCGATGGGTTTTATTCCATTTCAAAGTGCTGTTTGACGCGGTGTAAACTTTGCGCACTGCCACTCCAACATCCAATCACAGAGCTTGAGAACTAATCACGGGGTTTGTCAAACAAAGCACATGGTGTAGTCCCAAACAATAGCTGAGGATTCTGGGTAGTGTAGTGTCTTCTGCCATCCTAAACTCCGAAAAAATATTTGTTTCTCCGAATCGAAGGGGAAAAATACAAAAGCATTGCACACAATTTAAACCAATCAATGTTGTGTAATTAACAAGGATAATCTGTTGTTTTTGAGTTGATGAGTAGTGCAGATATCACTGTCAAATCAATCGACAGTAAGGAGAATAGTTACTTCCGGGTGTAAAATCCTCCGTTATCCAATGGGAATGGACGCTCACATTGCCTTTAAATGCCGCCGACATGGACCGATGCGGTGTTTCCCTGAGCATCAAATACCGCCGCCGATGGGAATACATTGCAATCAGTTGAAAGCTCTTTGTCCGTTTATGAAGCTGAAGGAGACTAGGAGCGTCCCAACTGCACGCCACGGGACCCTGACCAAGCATCGCTCCTGGACGTTTAGGGAGTGAGAGTGTGTTGAATATATTCAGTGGCGGCTCCAGAGTATTTGTGTTGGGTAATCTATGGTAGGGCTAACCCATACAGTGGTGGGGCTCAAGTCAGTATTTGCAATGTAATTACATACACGCTATATCGCCCCCCTTGACAGTGAAACGCCACGCGTGAGGTTTAGATTATTTCCCTGTCTCTCTCAATCCAAATTGAACTGTATGAAATAAAAAGGCACATTTGTCTTGTAGTAAATAAAAAGGGCGACCTGGAGCCAATCCTGCAATTTCCCCACAGGTGAAAGAGTTGACATGCTGAAAACCCAACCCCTGCAGGGGGGTCTGGGGGGATTCTCCCCCAGGAGATTTTTTTAAATACTAACATAAAATACACATTCTGGTACTCTCTTGAGAAGAAAAATAAATAAATCTATTACTACATATTTAAAAAAATGAATGCCATTTTTGTTTTTTGTTACTTTGTTCTGAAAGCTGAACCTGCTGCTCCTCAGAGAGAAAGGGGAAGAGGCTGTGTGAATTACATTGTGGATAAGGGTGGATAGCCCCCATTGTTCTGTGTGTCAAAATGAAAGACAGCCCACACACCTATCAATCATCAAACCGTGGGGTCTTATTTCACGTAATGTTGTATCTATGTATCAGGGTTGCCAACTCTCACGCATCTGGCGTGTGACACACGCTTTCACTCTCAATCTCACGCTCTCACGCTGCCCAAACTATTCTCACGCCAAAAGCAAGAATACCGAAGACAAGAAACGGTTTTGAAAACTTTTGTCACGTAGTGATCGTCTTCTCATTAGAACATCTTTGATAATGTCTTCTGGCCAATCAGAATCACGATAACGGCGTGGTGTTGTTGCAGGAAGTCCCGACGGAGAATACTTTTGCGGTAGTACATCTCATATCATCGATACAACATTACGTGTTGATAGAAATCAACACGTAATGAAATAAGACCCCACGGTTTGATCATTGATAGGTGTGTGGGCTGTCTTTCATTTTGACACACAGAACAATGGGGGCTATCCACCCTTATCCACAATGTAAAGTAATTCACACAGCCTCTTCCCTCTTCTCTCTGTGAGGAGCAGCAGGTTCAGCTTTCAGAACAAAGTAACACAAAACTAAAATGGCATTCATTTTTTTAAATATGTAGTAATAGATTTATTTATTTTTCTTCTCAAGAGAGTACCAGAATGTGTATTTGATGTTAGTATTTAAAAAAATCTCCTGGGGGAGAATCCCCCCAGACCCCCCTGCAGGGGTTGGGTTTTCAGCATGTCTACTCTTTCACCTGTGGGGAAATTGCAGGATTGGCTCCAGGTCGCCCTTTTTATTTACTACAAGACAAATGTGCCTTTTTATTTCATACAGTTCAATTTGGATTGAGAGAGACAGGGAAATAATCTAAACCTCACGCGTGGCGTTTCACTGTCGGGGGGAGCGTGTATGTAATTACATTGCAAATACTGACTTGAGCCCCACCACTGTATGGGTTAGCCCTACCATAGATTACCCAACAAAAATACTCTGGAGCCGCAACTGCAACTGCAGATCTAAGATCCAGTAGAAATGATAAAAAAGTAAAAGTCTGCTGCTTATTGTTCTACTAGGCCAAAATAGAGTCAAAGAGTATATGAGAGTGAGAGTGTGTTAATTAATATATTTGGCAGTTTGGAGTAAGTCTGTAGATTTGTTTGTGTGTGTGTGTTTCATGTATAGGCCTCTCACGATAATTAATTTTGTTGGATACATTTTCCCGGAAATTATTGCGATAAACGATAATATTGTCGGCACCGTTGTATGACCATTTTAGACCACTGACATAATGATAATATATAATAATAATTCAAGTACATCCTTTCAAACTGCTAGTCACATCCTCATGTAAATGGCAATTTATCGAGGTCAGAAAAGTTATCGAGTTCATTTTTATTTATCGTACGATAAGTCAATTAATTGCTTATCGCGACAGGCACACAATAAAACAGTGGAAACAAACATGTTTGACTTTCATTAGTGAATGAAACTGTGTGCCCTTTATAGTCTGTGTCCATTATTGTGTATTTGTATATATTGTATATATATCCTATATATATGCTAAGGTCTCGCTGCTGACACGATAGCAGTCATTTCGTGCGCATATGTGTAATTAAACCGAATGAAACCCATGATATCAAAATCTCACTCCAGCCAGGTACCCAAAGTTGGCAACCCTGATGTATATAGAGATGTACTACCGCTAAAGTATTCTCCGTCGGGACTTCCTGCACGCCGTTATCGTGATTCTGATTGGCCAGAAGACATTATCAAAGATGTTTTATTGGGAAGAAGATCACTACGTGACAAAAGTTTTCAAAACCGTTTCTAGTCTTCGGTATTTCCAGACAAGTGGCTACTGAAATCAATTTTACTAACTGCTGTCTGTGCAATTTACTCCGCGCGAGATGACGGACTTTATTTAGCTTACTTTAACATCATTTTTCATGGTGGGGCTAAGGTGGGGCTAAGCCATTTCTTGGTATGGCTGTAGCCTACCCCAGCCATACCCTGGCGCCGCCACTGAATATATTGCTTTCCTGCAATGTTAACTATGTTGAAGCACTTATTTTAACTGATATTATACATATTTATTATACTCTTATGTATGTAGATAGTATAAGAAATGTGCAGAATATGACAGTTTAATGGTGGAGGTATACAGATATTGATAGATGTCTTGTAATGCACTGTTGAGGAACCTGCAACCCAAGTTTTTCATTCATTGCATAACTACACCGTAGTTGTGTATATGATATGTCAATAAATCTTAGAAAATCATGAAATCTTGAAAGGGATGTGCAAAATAGCTATTATATACAGTTTTTAATGAACTATTAGTAGAGAATAACGAGTAATGAATATACTTTATAGAGATCTGCAGATAAATGTTTAGTCTTCTCAAGCACCAACTACCAAATATCTCTCCTGATTGTTGGCACTTGACAATCACCTTCACTGAATTTTACTCAGGTGTAACTAAAGCCTGATTTAAGGGTTGTTTATATTTCACATCATTAATCAGAATCTGCAAAGTAACTAAAATAAATGTAGTGGAGTAAAAATACCAGTTCAACCTCTGAATTGTAGTGGAGTAGAATAACAAAGTAGTCCTAACGGGGGGTTGGACTCATTCGAATCCAGTTTTGGATAGTGTGCCGTGGTTTTCACCCCAAGCTGTTGCCTGGCAAAGCAATACTGTTGATAGTTATGGCTGATAAGGCTTATTGCTGATAAGGCTTATTACTTATTGGCTTATTACTTATTACTGTTTTTATATTTTAAACCCCAAACCGATGGAAAAACCCCACAGCAACATAGAAAAGACGGTCACAACATGACCCGGCGCTCTAGTTAATAGACAAAATAATTTCATACATAATATTATTAATGACTTCATTTTGAAATTCAGTTCCTGACGGACGGCAAAAAAGCCAGAGATTATAGAATTAAACAAATAAATAAAAACAAGGATAATTGTGTGTTATTGTTGACTAAATAGCAGTGTGTTATGTAGAAAAGAATTACAAATTAGAAGGAAAAAAAGATTTCAAAAATACATATTTCAGTATTCTGAGCCCCATTTATTTTCCTCACGGATGGCAAAAAAAGTCAGACATTATACAATTTAAAATAAAAACAATAATCGTGGCTTGATATTGAGTAAGAACATGTTTTTATGAACCACACAGCTTCCGGTCTTCCAAGACCCGACCGGACAAAAAGACGTGGTGCAGGCATGAAACATACTACCAATAGAAATACATTGCTTTTAAAATCGTTCTGTGTGACACGAAAAAAAGGGGGAAATCGTGTTGGTGAACACGAATCAATAGATTACATTTCGTGACTATAACACGAAATGCCGTGAGACTGGGTTGAAATACGATATTACCCAGCCAGCCATCAATTGATCCATATTCTTCATCCATCTGGAGGTCTGAGCAAACAGCAGTCACTTCAACTTAACATGTCAAATAAGTGAGTGCCCAATAAGTGAGTGCCCTCAATATTTGTATACATATATATATTTGTCAAATCTTTTGAAATGCTACATGTCCATTTGTCAGAAAGGCTGAAGGTAGAGAATCAGAAGCACTTTGAGATCCATGTGAGCGTGAACATTGCCTTAGCTCTACTCTCCTAATTTCAGAGCCGAGCCTTCCAGAGACAGGAAGTGTTGACTCGGGGGGGGGTGGGGGGGGGGGGGGTGCTGCCTGAATGGGAGCCCCTCTCTGCGGCTGGTTCCCCGCTGCAGCAGCGCACAGGCCTAAGCCCCTCTTTTCTCCCGGCTTCCCTGCGGATTAAATGGCTTTCGCTCACCTCTTTTTCCTCCGCTTGCTGCCGACAGGAGTGGCATTTCACTTCTTCTTCCCATGGCCTCAGCAGATGAGGCGGCAGTTTTCAGTTTTTCTTCTTGCTCGCTTGGAAGGAGCAAATGACCAGCAAGAACTCAATTAGCAACATGTCCCTCCCAGCCGGGGGTCCGAGCCGCTGCTTGTTCAGCCCGTATCAGAGATCAAGTCGGCCTAAGTGAAGTGAGCGCAAGCGAGCGAAAAGGGTAAACGAAGTGTGTGTGTGGGGGGGAAGCGGCATCTGCCCCCATACAGATTTGCTTAATTGGGTTTGACTCCCACAATTACAGGGTAATAATGGCCTTTTCAACCCGGCCATGTCGAAATGAAAGGCAGTTGCTCCGAACACCCGCATGCTGTCAGATGATTTATAGCAGAGAGCGAGGGACAGAGAGGGGAGAGAGGGTGGGGGGAATTGGCAATGGACTTTGGTTAAGCAGTGGTTATTGAGTCTTTGATAGGACTCCAGGAGGCCAGGGCAGCAACAATGACAGAATTAATGGGCAAGGCACGATGAGAATGTCAGCTCAGCGGGGGGCTGCTGTGGCCTTTGAGCTGCCTTCTGACGCTACACACAACTTTGTGAAAGCCTTGACCTGTTGTTGGTGGATCTGGTCCTGAATGTATTTACAAGCTGTTGTGCTTATCATAACGCAAAGACCTGGAGTTGTCTCTGAAACGCAATGAGGTCACGATCAAGTGAACATCATGTTGCTAATGCGTACATACACAGTCAGATAATGACATTTCAAATATGTCAAAATACGACTGGTGAAATGCTCTCAAGCTGATGGAGTCAGGGTAAAGGAGGAGGCAGGCTAACTTAAGACAAACCTGTGCAAGGTAGAAACACTGGGACATGTCTATCTTCAGTAGAAGTGAATATAACCTGCTGCAAGGAACCAAAAGAGGATTGGGAATGGCTGCAGAGAAAGATAAGCAACATTAGAAGATGTAGAAACCCTTATTCCAATCAGACATAGATGCTGTTGATGCTAATGATAGGATGGCTTCGGAAACAAACATCTCAAAATGAAATGCCCAACTCTTAGACCAGTGTTGCCTCAATTACTGCAAAAACTGTTTCAGTGTGGCTTTGTTCTAATTTCATTGGATTACATAATAATACTCATTCACATACGCACTGACTGAACAACTTATAAAGCGACAAATATGACCTTCTTCTTCAGAAATACTTATATTTACACAAATATCAAAGATAAGAAATAAGATAAAGAAAGTAACACTGCATGTCACTGTTTGCAGGTCTGACACAGAGAGTTTCCAGTGTGGGCCGACTCTTATGGACTTTAAAGCAGCCTGCTGTCCATCATTATTAGCCGTAACGATGGGCCCATTTTGACACTTCAGAATCAAGTCTTGGCAAATAGCCCTGGGAAGAGGAGCCACATGCTACGAGATGGCTTTTTCCTGATATAATTTGTGCCTGCAAATTACAAAACAGAGGCAGAAATAATGTGTAAAGTCAAGTTTGGTGAGGGAGAAAATGGAAAATGTAGGGCTGTGTGCCACTCTAATGGATATCCTTGTGGCTGGGAGAAAATGGGACTCAATAATGTGTCCTTAATGTCTGCCAGCGCTGTTTCAGGGAACGTATCAGAAGAAATGTCCCCTGCCATTTCTGAAAGCAATCACTTAATGGGACGGGCAAATCTCAACAACATGGATGTACTGATCTATTTCTGGGCTTGACAGATGGAATGAATCCGTGGCTCCTGGAAGACACAAACGAAAAGGTAGAGGGTGAAGAAAGACCAGGCTGCAAACAAGGGAAGATAAAAACAAGCCTTTCATGATTCAGTCAGCCACGCAGAATGCCTGTGTGTGGCTTAAGTGCAGACACTGACAGGAATTTCAATTATTTAATTAGGGAGGGAAAATGAAAAGACTTAAGTGTTGTGATTTTCTGAAGTCTTTCATAGATCAATCTAATGTGCGCTCACATTGGAAATCAACCAAGATGGAAGAGGGGCAAGTGAAGTAGCGTCTTCTAAATCACGCAATTAAAATGGCAAATTAGTTTCTTGATATATTCATTTAAGTGGTTAAGTGGAAATGTTTCTCTCTCCGTTCACGCAGCTGTCTCATGGGGGGGGGGGGGGGGGGAGAGGCAGCAGCATCTACATGCTCTTATGATTAGAGCCGCCATTCGTTTGCTGAGAAAACGCTGAAAGCACTTGCTGCACGAATTAGCCATTTGAAGGCTTGAAAATTCAATTCCGAGGAGTTGATTTAAGTATTTAGGCAAAGCAGGGCTGGAACGTAAAGTTTGAGAAGCATTTTCCCTGCTAATGCCGATAACTTTCAGAGGCCATTATAGGTTTTTAAGGCCTTGTACCTTGTGAACGGCACAGCTGGAAAATACTACAAACACACATACTATACACACTTAAGGCGTATTCCCACCACCTTCACACCTCCATTCTCACGTGGTCTACAGGCAGTTTTCCTGTTGAACAGCCTTGTTGTTGTTATAATTCGGACATTTGTCCATAATGAAAGATCATCTGATGCTCAGCCACTTGTTCCATTAGCACTCGGATGGATCGAAGCTTCTGATGGATAGGAGAGCATCTGTCAGCGGGTTATATTTGGCAGGGTGCTTAAATGAATAGAAAAGGAGTATGGCACATAACTGAAGCAAATGGAGGATACTGAAGGATATAGACAAAGATACTGTAAGTAGAAACAAATCAAACCAAAAAATAGAAAGATATGTGTTTTAATGTCCGGGCATTTGGATTTCCTCAGCTGTGAATTTGACCAATAGTAATAATAATGATACCTTTTACTTATAGAGCCCTTTTTAAGGTACTCATTGAGATATTATATTCAAACAAAAACTTGAAAATGTAATAAAAGATACCTGTTGTCATTAACGCAGTCCTGTGTTGCCATGAATCATAAGTTTCTTTTTTTAATGTGTCATGATTCTAAATGTATGCAATTGATAGAAAACAAATCACTAAGGAACCCAAAACCCTGTGATTTGTACAAAACAAGAGGCCAGCCAGTGCTGGAAGCAGACTCTTCATGAACATCTTTTTAGATTCTGAAACTCCACTTACTGGTAAAACACCACACTTTCCACTGAACTAATGGAATGGCAGTTATTTAGATGTTTAGAATAACCCTTTTCTATAAAACCTACAGCATGCTGCTATGGTGTGTCATTTGTCTCCTTTAGTCTGCCACAATATTTATCTTGCATATATTGCTACGCACATAAACCCTCATTCCCACCCCCCTTTTTTCCTGTGAGATTTCCCTTTGTTTGTCCTCGTTCCAATGAATTTGTGGAAGTTGTATTAAATATTCTTTTGTAGTGTATTGTGTTTAATTCACAAGAGGTAAACTACTCTAATGCAAAATGACTCCAATGCGTTAAATATAACAAATTAATGGTATATTATGATTATTATTATTATTATTCATAAAAGGCTATGTATATTTGGTGACCTCACATTAATCCCACCCTAGCTTTGCTTGGTGTAAATTGACATAAAAACATAAAGAACCGTGTGGTGGCCTGCAGGGCCTTTAAATGTAACACATCATCATTTATAAATGCTTCATATGTGTCAGATCAGACCCTAGCTGTTTGTGGTGGAATACAAATACAATATTAGCGGAATTAAATGAAAATATCAAAATAAAGTAGCCTACCTCAAAAGTCCAGTTAATTTCTACCAGAGCTTAGGTGAGACATACATTATAATGATGTTTTCAGATGCTAACCAGCATAACCCACAAGTCATTAGAATGTCCACAGCCAGTATAGCCTGTCATCTAGTCATTATAAAGATATGAGGTGGTCCATGGAGCCGCAGCAGGCCGCAGGCTGCAGATGGAAGCTCAGGGACACAACAATGCAGCCACGCAGACACACACTCATTGTAATTACTCTTGTCACATTACCTTCCCAAGTGCCGCATGAGCTCCTTACCTACTGATGATACCACATAAATGTAGACTTTTCATAACAAAATTAATCTCTGAAAAGCTGGATGGATTCAAGAAAACATGGATTTGCTCTTCTGTCACAGAGGCATATTGTCCACTTTGATGGTGCATGGGAGGATATCAAATGCCCTCCTGGCTGCCACTCTCCAGATGGAAGAAAATAGCCTGTGGTCTATAAAAATGAAGTTAGATGTAAGTACAGCACTCAAATCTCGGGGAGAAAAAATGCTTTTTCTGGGGCATTTTGTTGTTGTCAATTGGTCTGAGCAACTTGCTGTAATGCAGGTAATGGAGCTACTCTACTCCTTTCATCTTTGGGTCTGTGTGTGTGTGTGTGTGTGTGTGTGTGTGTGTGTGTGTGTGTGTGTGTGTGTGTGTGTGTGTGTGTGTGTGTGTGTGTGTGTGTGTGTGTGTGTGTGTGTGTGTGTGTGTGTGTGTGTGTGTGTGTGTGTGTGTGTGTGAGGCACAGTGTGGGATGATGGTCAGAATGGGATGAACTGGTGTGAGCTGCTTCTCCAAACACCTGCTGCCTCCATGTACCTTTGGTGATACCAGTATTAACATGGAATTTAAAATACATTTAAATACATATTTCAGCTTTAAAAGGTGTTGTTACACATGAATGAACATTTCTATTTCATGTTATAATTGAAAAAGTCAGTGTCCTCTTTAACAACATGTCCACATTCTTAACAGGTGGATAAAGAAAACGTAGGGGTTGTAAAACGAACCTTTACTGAAATACAGCTAAATGCTTTCCACTGATTTGCAAACAGACATCAAACGTGTCTCTAAATGTCTAAAAGAATGCATCTTCCGGTGACCAAACACTGTACCTCATGTACACAGAACTGAACACTGTCAGCACAGCTGTTCCATGAGAACTGGCCCTGTTAGTTCTGTAGAACTGCATTTATTGAAGATCCACACAGTTGTTGTAATAAATTGCATCTTAAACCTAGTGACAAATAAATGGAATGAAAAATGAAGTGAATTGTTAGGGTTATTGATGTCCGATATGTTTAATTATTCCAGAGTTTGAAATGTTTGAGTGTGCCCCATTGGTGACTCACTGCAGTCAGTGAAGCTTCTTACATTTGTATTTAATATAAAGATTTGGAAAACACGCTTTTGATGTGCTTGCTCATAGTATATTGCCTTAAGATATGAAGGATACATCATGGCATCTTTTCATTGCAAACATTTATTTTCACAATATGTGTCTTACTTTCCATAAAATACCAATTTTTGTTGCAACTTTGTTGGACACATGAGAAATGCGTTTCATATATTTATGATCTATACTAGGAGACATAGAGTGCATTATCAGCTGTGAGAAGGTGGCGAAGATGATCTGTTCTAGTGTTAGACTCAACGACCATATAAGCATTCATTTAACATGAAGGAAACACATTTGCATTTGAAGCAGAAATCCATATCTAGAGCATTGTTTTTAGAATTGATCAACCTATTGATCTGTAAGAAAATGTGTGGTATCGTCAGCATATGAAATAAACAGGGCTTATTTGAATACCCAATGCAAATAGTGTCATCACTATTCAGAGCTGACTGTTGACCTTCCACACACATCACCTTCAATTATTTGTATGATGGTTGTGTTGGAAAACAGTTGCCTATTTATTCACAAACATGATGTTTGAGGTAACCTGATGAATAAACGTCCTACACTAACTATTTTCAACTCCAAGGGAAGTATTGGGCAGCTTCTCCACTCCCTCATGTGTACCAGAGCTAGTCTCTTGCTTCCAACGAGGGCCCGACAGTGTACAATGGGTTTGTGGGTCTTTTTAAACTAAAATAACAAAGTAGCGCTGAGCTGAACTGCAGTCATTTCACAATAGTCATCATATTTTTGTTCAATGGAACCACATGATTTTGGTTTCAATTGGTGCCAATGATACAATCATGACTTTTACCGTTAAACTATTTAAAATAATTTCACTCTATATTGTCACAAGAGTGTATGAACGGTTGTTCTTTTTACACATAGTACCCTAATTAAGGCAAATGCAGCAAGCAGGACAATAATCCTAAACCAAAGAAACAGTGAGGCAAGCAGCGTTTGAGTGGCTTACATTTTCAACAAGGGGTATTTTCTATTTATTTAACAGTGAGTATTTTATATTTTGTAAGTCCTAAATGTGCTCAAATAGACTTTAAAAACAACAACTTGTATCTAAATGTATTCAATGCCAAACATGTGATGCCTGGCTGCCCTCCAGTAAAGCCAGTTCAGCCTCCACTTTCAATAAAAGCATGAAGTCATCAGTATTGCTTCAGCCTGCCAAGCTTTGAACATTTCTGTTTTTTCAGCAGATTCCCAAACCACAAAACTGGTGTGTGCTGATTGGCCAGTGCTGGGCCCGGGCCTTTTGTCTCAGCGCTGTGTTTGCTGTAGCCCCAGTTTCTCTTTTCACCCGTCTAACGCTTGTGCTACTAGCCCGCTGGAATCTGCCAGTCTTGGCATTATAGGGTCTTGTTGTATTTTGTCAGGTAACCCTGTCTTCATTAACATCTTTTTAAAAGGTTTTGCTTAAGGTAAGGTCATACTGAATTGTGTCCAATAATTGTTGGTGTTCACTTGTGTTTTTATGTGTTTTTTATGTATTTGTGGTATTGGGGACACAGCTGCAGTTCCAAGAACTCCACTAATAATGTTGCAAATATTGATGGCTGAATCAGAAAATATAGACCGTTGTGTCTTGCGCCTTTTAGGTAAAAATGTACCGATTTGTATCTCTTATGTGTCCATGTAACTTCAGTGCAGTGAATAGAGTAAAGTAATTAAAACACAGTCTCCTCTAGAGGCTAAAAATAATGTAAACTATAGATGGAAAACTGCAAACATTAGTTGTATTTTTGTTGTTTACACATCACAATGTAGTAAGAGTTGCAGAATTAGTGAAAAAGGTTGAGTGATGCAATCAAAAGGAAACATTGGGCCTCGAGGTCAGTGCAGACGCAACCAACGCCTCTCTCTCTGTAACAGACTATGATGTTGGTGGGTGGGGGGGGGTCCATGGCATTGTAGAATATTAAACCCAGCTGGTTGACAACATATTGCCGAAAATAAATAATTGCAATGTTAAATATGCCCAGAAAAATGGGCATCCTGAGATATCGTTTGCTTTACAATATGGGAATGAAATGGATTTAGTAAGTGCTCTGGTTTAGACTGAGGCAGCTGAGAGGGAAATGTGATCCTGCAGAAATACAGAGCTCTTCAATGAATACACAGAGCTCTTCAACGAGCATCCCGCTCAGGTTTTCAGACATAACAAGATATATATATCTATCTATCTATCATCCTTTCCCCCTAAAAGAAATCCACAACTCTCCATGCGTAGAGGGGATGGCTGCAGGATATTGCATTCAGATGGAACAATGAGCAATAGATGTATCAAGTATCAAAGCATCGGTGTGTGTGTGTATGTGTGTGTGTGTGTGTGTGTGTGTGTGTGTGTGTGTGTGTGTGTGTGTGTGTGTGTGTATGTGTGTGTATGTGTGTGTATGTGTGTGTGTGTGTGTGTGTGTGTGTGTGTGTGTGTGTGTGTGTGTGTGTGTGTCTGTGTGTGTGTGTGTGTGTGTGTGTGTGTGTGTGTGTGTGTGTGTGTATAAAGCTCATCTTCGGGGACTGATGTCCAAGAGAACAAAGTGGGGCATACACACAGGCGACCCCGCAGCTCAATCCATCGGAAATAATATGTTCATTACAACACAATTACTGACACTTAGACCCTCTCTCGCTGAAGTGTGTGTGTGTGTGTGTGTGTGTGTGTGTGTGTGTGTGTGTGTGTGTGTGTGTGAGGCCAGTGCAGCTAAGTGACCTTATGTTCCTCTGTATGTGTGTGTGTGTGTCTGCAGGTGCAGGATGTACAGCTTTATGGGTGGAGGTTTGTTCTGTGCAGGCGTGGGGAACATCCTCCTGATCGTTTCCACAGCAACCGATTACTGGATGCAGTATCGGCAGTCCAACAACTACATGCACCAGGGCCTGTGGCGGTACTGCATGCCGGGGAAATGTTTCCCCCACAACGACAGCATCGGTGAGTGTTCCTGCTCCACACACGCTCACTAAAGCTGCCGCCATGGCATGGCGGAGGGAAAGCTCACTTGCACTTGACATGGTGGCAGGCTAACATTTGTCATTACAGTGTGAATTATACAGATAATACTACTTGTGTTTAACAAGAAAAACATTTCTCTGATACTTTGATTTGATAAAAAATGGTTATAGATATAAGTTATACTTTTTTGTTAGAGTTTCATCTCTTGTGTTTTAGTTGATATATTTAGGAATTCCAACTGATGGATGATGAAATTAGAAATGTGGTCTGTTATATTTCTTGAGGATGTTTGCTGCTCTTCATCATGTTGGCTTGTTAACTTGTTTGTTTGTTTGTAGCCTTTATTTAACCAGGTTAAAAAATCCCATTGAGATCAACGATCTCTTTTTCAAGGGAGACCTGCGGTACATTGGTTACACATAAAAACAACAGAAAACAAAAAGGACATCACAACATAATTACAGGGGTATAAATTAGCAACCTATTTACATTTACAGGTATCCAATAACATTTCATCCAGCCGTGCTTTAAAACGATGCAAGGGAATCAAAATGCTCAGTTTCAATGTTTTTTGCATAGTGTTCCAAGCTAGAGGAGCAGCGCACATAAAAGCTTTAGTACCTAAAACAGTCCTAGCACTTGGCACATGTAATAAGAACACATCCTGGGATCTCAGGCAATAGCTACTTGCCACTCTCTGTGAGATCAAAGAGCAGATATAAGTCGGTAGTTTACCCAGCATGGCTTTATATATGAATATGTACCAATGACTGAGCCTCCGAACAGTAAGTGAAGGCAGACCTGCCTTGGCATACAGGGTACAGTGATGAGTAAGTGCTTTACAGTTAGTAACAAATCTCAGTTAGTAACATGGGGTCACAGCTGAGATCACAGCTCCCTGTTGACTTGCACTGACCCCACCAGTGACTTCTATTGACTATTGACCCTGTCCACAGCCCACCTAGACGCTACCCGTGCCCTCATGATCCTCTCTCTGTTGGCCTGTTTCATCGGCATCATCATTGGCATCATGGCCTTCATCCACTACTCCTCCTTCGACAGGTTTGACAAAACCTTTGCTGCAGGCATATTGTTTTTCATCTCATGTAAGTTCAACGCTATTGATTTGTTCTTTGTTTGTTGGCTTTGAGCTGTCATTTGCATTTGTTTTGACGTTAACTGAAGCATAATAAGCATAATATGTATGTTTTGACCTGAAACTTAGCAGCAGTATGGTTTCCTCTCTATTCAGTCTCTCTGAAACTCTTTTTCTCTTTTTTTCTGCACAGGCCTTTTAGTGTTTCTAGCGATGTCAGTGTACACTGGTGTGACTATGAACTACTACGGGAAGCGCTATGGAAACTGGAGGTTCTCCTGGTCATATATTATAGGCTGGGTGTCCGTTGTGCTCACCTTTTTTTCAGGTAAATATGCAGCCCAAAAAACCTGTATCTGTATCAAATCTGCATTCGGTTTTCAAAGCAGTTCCGTCAAGTTCCTTCATTTCCAACGGTTCCATTGATGGTGTGTTCACTTTCAATTGAACAACATTAAGCTGTGATCCTTTACTAATAATGTTGACTTCTTTTAAAGCTCTAAACTTGAGGAAGTTGCTGTCTAAGCATTACTGCACTCAGAGTTCAGAAGCATTGCCTGGAGAAGCAGACCAGGCAGGCAACACACTCAAAATACAGATTATTTTTACATTATATCGTGTTGGAATTTTTCAAAACTTCAATAAAGCAGTGTATTTACTCCCACATATTGGCGTCAACTACTACCTGCATTTCAGCGAATAATATTCTTCATTATTCATGTAGTGTTTGTAATAAAGACAACACCTATAGAGACTCATTACACAAAGAGTCACTGAGCTAACCTGAAGCTAACGTGGACCTGCAGCTGAAGCTGTGATTGACATGCTGTAGTGAATGCTGCTCTCTGAATCCCCCAGCATGCACTACCTCTGAATCCCCCAGCATGCACTACCTGCAGGCTTTTCTCATTACTCAATGTGAAGAGATAATTATGAGCAGCATCCATATGAGGAAAATACTATATGTTCATCTGTTTGGTTAAGACTGAAAATATGATGTATATATATATATCAATATATCACGGTATATAATAACTAACCAGTAGGTGATGGAAAAAACATCAAGACTATGGTTTACAATTCTTATCAAAATGTTATTCATATCATTTGCATGCACTAAAGATGTCAAATAAACAGCCCATGGATAATGTATCAGGACCTTTCATATATATGTTGACATTAAAGCTGATCCAGACACAAAATAGAGAGACCTCATTTGAATTCCCTTTTCTCAGATTGTCCCTGAACATGGCCTGAAACAGACTTCCCCACACTTTGCTGCTTCTGCTCATTAAATAAAGGGATACAATTCCCACACATTTGAGCATAGTGTATTGTGTCAATAAAAACCTAATACAATTAAAATAAGCCACTGCATGGAATTGACACTTCCTGATGAATAACAAAGACCTGCCCTCTCTTTCTTTTCAGGTATATTCTATTTGTGTGCCTACCGGATGCATGAATGCCCCAGGAGCTCCAACTCTCATTAGAACACTTCTTATTCCATCATCAGAAATGAGCCAGGCTGTGTGTGGACTCTCACCATCAACACGGTGCAGAGCTTACCTCTGGACCATGTAGGATCAAAGTTGAACCAGTTCAATAAAAAGATTTGGGAGAATACGACTCTTTATTTTCATCCACAGGCGCTGTGCATCTTTAGCTCACTCTCTTTATCATGTTCTTGATTTATTTAACTGTGCTTGGTTGCAGATGTATTTGTATTATTTTTAAATGTATCTGAGAGCATTTTTTGGAGGCTTGGAAGCTGGAAATATGTGACTGAGAGTCCGATCCGGGCCCGCCTTTAGCGTTATAATAACGGGTGTCCATAACCACAGAGAGGTTATTATGTATTATAATAGAATCCGTCTGCATCCAAAAGTACAACAAATATCATTTTTCCAAAACCCTTGTGGACCAATGGAGTCACAGAAAGCGAAAGTCACATGCGTGCATGTCTATAAAAACTGTACTCATGTAATTACAAAGAGCATGCTGCATTACTCTGAACAAAATATTACAATTGACATGAATACATTTTAGAGCAACGTAAACAAATATATAAATATAAAATACCTAAAAGCATAATTTCGTTGCCAGAAAGTCGTTGTTTTATGTCTTAAACTATTTATTTAAATAGCCTACTATCAGAATAAAAAGGACCAGAGGACATTGATTTGACTCTGTATGTCAAATGGATTTGTATTATTTGTTATGAAAGCCCCAAATATGTATTCGGATGAAGTAACCTCTTGCTCCGTCTCTCACCATCACACTGTCAGCTCAGTAAACCCCCTCTCATCCAAACGTGTCACTTAAAGCAGTGACGCACTGACCGGCTCAACATTTTACTTAATGAAATGGCCACAGAAAGCCGCTTACCTGCGCCTCGAGAACGGCTTCTTAAGACGATTTCATCACCATTTGTTCCATTTACTTTCTAATTTCCCCCTAAAAGCCACTTGTTATCCTGGTGCGCTCCATAAAGGGATTGACGCAGTCAGGTGCGCGCGTTACCTCCATCTGCTGCGGCCGGGTGTTTGAAATGGCTCATGCGGCCTCCTTTCAACTTGCATGCATTTTTTTTTTTAAATGACACAATATGTATTTTGCAGAGGAAGGATGTCTCATAACTTTTTGAAAATGGTGCGCATTTTGCACCAGCGTTAGTCGCCTTTAACCCAAAAGGTGTTTTATTGCAACCAGCCAACTATGCCAATTTACATACTGAGCACACGCGTCAATTGAACACAATATGCAAACTAATGCCGCAGAGCACTTTTCCACAGCAACTGATTCCCAATAATTAATTTGTTCTCCCTCCATCTGATCAAATGGAAATCCTGTCCTCTAGCCCAAGGATTACAACTTCCGCTCTAACATCTCCCTTAATTGCCTAATAGCATTGCAGCGTGAATTCTGCCTACATTAAGACACTTTCACATTAAGCGGCCTGATTGGAAATGTGATGACAACACCATATCAACAAATTATAGCGCAGCTTTCTTTTGCAAATGGGCACAGGAGCGGCACTTGTACTCTCCCAGTTTTTAATACCGACAATTACAGCCAATTTGGGCGGAATTACTAGGCAGACCTGAATCAGAACAATCCTCATGTGACACAGGCGACATGACTTCATTCAAAAACTAACATGAAGGAAAAATGAAGTACCCGAGTGAATTTACCAGACAATTAAAAAACACTCTGTGGTCACATGTTCAAACTTCAATATAGGCCTAAATCATTTTAAAGTTTGGTGTCGAGGTCCCTCGTGTATTATTATAGAAAGATATGAATTATAAATTACATTAAATGGTTCAGCTCTCATCTTATAGCGATATTAAATAAATATCCCACCGATAAAAACACAATTTTCGATTCGGTGAAATACACACAAATAGCCTGCATACGTGCAAATAGCACGTGCTTAACCAGACACGTCGGAGCGTAGCAGACAACAACAATAACACAAAAGCTGCATATTCCTTCGGCAGAATGAAGCTTTTCATCTTTTACATCACCAGACTACTGGGAATATAGTTATTCAAATGTTTAACCATGGAGTATAACACTGTGACATATTTAAAACAGATCAGAACTGTCTTGAAATGGAAAATAGATGTTCCTTCCAAAAAAGTAAAACTGCGACAATACCAATAAAGTGTTTCAGCACCACGGTGAGCGACCGACCTGATTCATAGAGCCTGAACAAGTCTTAGCCAATCAGAAGGAGACACAGGCCCCTCACATCTCCCCTCCGCCCATCCAGAGCTCTTATTGGCTGGTGCGTAAATCAATTTCCCCAATCCGCTATCTGTCTGAATAAATGCCTGCTGGAAATCTGCCCTCCCACTGATATCTGTGTGAGTTCAGTGATAACAGGAGCTGAAGCTGGAAGCAGAGCAGATGTTGATGCAGCTTCAGAAGCTTCTTTAATAACCACCAGCACCATGAGCATGAACTACCTGTCCGCGGCGCCCGCGCACAGGTCCACGTCGTTTTTCATTGAGGACATCCTGCTGCACAAACCCAAGCCGCTGAGAGAGGTCATCCCCTCGCCCTTCTGCAGCTCCCTGGCCTCCCGGATGCCCATCCTGGATTATGGCTACCCCCTGATGCCAACCCCAATACTGGCACCACATCCGCACCACCACCTCCACAAGCCGGAGCACCACCAGTACTTCTTCACTTCCGGTAAGCATACACGGCCGTGAGAGACCCGACAGACAGAAGCCTCCTGTCAGACAGGCCTGCCTGGACTAAAGAAGTTCCTTCCTATATTTATAAACTCCTTATCTGCTCATTTTATCAATGAAAGTCAGGAATATAGAGATTGATATTCAATACTGAGAGTGGGATCTAACACCACTCCGTGACAGACAGGTTGAAATGTATTATAATGGTTGGCTGGTGGAGCATCTGAAGATTTATTCAGATTTGTCGATACTTAGTCATTATTATTTCTTTAAGGATCGTTGTTATGTTGTTTTTTTTCTGCAGTAAAATGTGTATAATTGATATTTTCTGATATGTGTATAATGTTTGCTTCTGATTATACAAACTAAGTTATGATTTTACATTCACTAAAAGCCATCGATAAGTCATTATGAAACTAGAATGAACCCGAAGCTAATTCATTACACACAGTGAACTTAGTTTCTCAGACTATATATTTATTTTTGATGAAATGTGAGACCTCTAACCCTGGTCCTGTCCTGCAGGGATGCAGATGCCGGCCCTGTTCCAGCACCACGCGGAGCTACCGGGGAAACACTGCCGGCGCCGGAAGGCCCGCACCGTGTTCTCCGACTCTCAGCTGTCCGGCCTGGAGAAGAGGTTCGAGATCCAGAGGTACCTGTCCACCCCGGAGAGAGTGGAGCTGGCCACTGCGCTCAGCCTGTCCGAGACACAGGTACACACACACACACACACACACACACACACACACACACACACACACACACACACACACACACACACACACACACACACACACACACACACACACACACACACACACACACACACACACTTGAAGCCCCGACTGCGGGAGATAGGCTACAGAGAGAACATTAATTATATTATCATATCAAATAAATGATAGGCTGTCTGAAAAACAAACAACAGAGAACGGCATTGGCATAACGTGTATAGTCTATTTATTATAAGATCAAAATTAATTAATTTAGTTAACTGGCTATTTCTAATTCTAATATTTTCTAGGAATTGCTGTAGTGTAATTCTGAGTAATTGAGTAGGCTATATTCTATATTAGGTTACATAAATAATACAACCAGGAAATAAATTCAGGAGCACCTCTTTAATCGTTAATGTTTTTCTAAAAAACGAAAAGGTCGTTTTTATTGATGCTTTTTGGTATTTCTTTAGATTGCAAAACAATAAATATGGGACTTTTTTCTGACACACACTCTCTGACACTTCCCCCTGCAGGTGAAAACGTGGTTCCAGAACCGGCGGATGAAGCACAAGAAGCAGCTGAGGAAGGTGCAGGACGAGCGGAAGAGCCCCGGGGAGAGGTCCGGGGAGAGGTCCGGGGAGAGGTCCGCGGAGAACTCCAGCGAGAGCGAGGAGAGGAGCGCGGAGGAGCGCGCGCCGCAGCCGGACTACCTGCTGCACGAGGACGAGGACGATGTGGACATTGAGGAGGACATTTGCTCCCCGGACCATCTACTATAGTAGAGGTCGGTTTGTACCGGGCAACGCCACACTGTAAATCACTGTAGATAACACCGGCCGCTCCCTTTCATTTGATACGCGCGTTACCGTTTAACGGGGAACGGCTGCCTGCAACACAATGTTAATATGTATTTAAACCCAGAGGTGGGCCCATTGGTTTTTAGATTTTTATGAGCATTTTCGTGTTGTGACGTCTGACAAAACGCGGAATATAGGCCTACCTATTATTATAATAATAATAATAATAATAATAATAATAATAATAATAATAATAATAATAATAATAATAATAATAATAATAATAATAATAATAATAGTACTAATAAGTATTATTATTAGGCTTACTATTATTATTATTATTATTATTATTATTATTATTATTATTATTATTATTATTATTATTATTATTATTATTGTTATTATTATTATTTTTATTTTCAATCGTGTAGACATGTGTGTATTGTAAAATGTCAAACCAATGTCTTTTTTATTTTGGGACGGACACACAGGCTACAGATGATTATGAACGAGCCGCATGCTACCCCATCTTTTTGCACTTTTATCGCAAACAAAGTTGTCCAAGCTTCTCTTTTATAGCTATCATTTTGCTCCTCAATCAGACTACTTTTTATATTTAATTTTCCGTTACCATATTGTTGAACATTTTTTTAAATCCATTTTTGGTCGATGACAATTCTGTGATTTATATTTGTGTGTAAATTGACATGTATATATATATAGTATATAAATGATACATCGATTATCGGCTTCTGCTATACATTTTTAAAGCTCATTTGTCTTTGTTGTATATACTGTATTGTTATACCTCAATTAACAAGGAATCATGTGGAAAAGTCTCAAATTGAACCACATAAATATAAAATGAATGTAGCATTATTATTATTCCAGCCGCATGTGGTAATAAGATACTTTTATATTCCTCCCTAAGATAAACCACTCTATGTTCATTACCAGACAAGTCCACTAACACGGATATTTCTAATCAAACGATGCGGATATTTACGAATGAAATTCAGGAGAAAGCAGCAGTTTGTTTGGTGAAGTTGTTTCAGGTACACAGTTACATGATCTTTAATAAAGAGCAGGGGAAATAAATGCCTTTCCCAGTGGTAAACGCTTGAGGGTAGATGTGCAAAAAACGTATAAGAACAGTCAACATATTAAGATGTAAAAAGTATTATTTCTTTAGACTAATTAAAAAAAAGATGAGTCCAGCTCAGCTCTAGAGATAGAAAGGATATTTGGAATTCAGTCAATATGGTTACCAATGTTAATATATTTAAACAATGATATCTACTCAAATTAAAGTCAAAAGTCAACCCAAATGTGCAATATGAGAATGTATTACGGCAAAGAATAAATGTGTGTATAAATGCAGCTTAACCACATTATTCTGGGGGTTTGTGCACAATATGGTCATAGAAAAAAAAGTTTTCCAAAAATAATATTTTTGTAGACATTTTATTATGCTACTGTTTTTGAGGATGGAATGGAACAAAAAGAAAAATCTAAGAAATATTTAATATCATTTTAATCAGATTTAGGCAATTCACTGTCAGTGAATATTGTTTTTATTATCTATTTGATTTAGTAAGGTTATGATTTGGATTTGGAATTCCGTGCATCAGTATTGTCCTCATCAATATGGTGGAGGAAAAGAAAGTGTTTACACTTTTTCAGTGATATTTCATTAGTTCACTAATGAGTACTTTACCAGTGGTCCAGAATATTTCATTCAAATAATCTTGTTCAACAGATTTCATATCAACAAACAGAAAAGTCACCTGCCTCATGGGAGTGTGTTCCCTTTGGTCCACAGACCAACGCTGCGGTGAGAGGCATGAATGAACCGTCTCTGAGTGTATAGTCAACTATTTATTTTAACATATGTAGGGTGAAGGGGTTATACTGTCTAATCAATAATGTGATAAGAGATCATCTCTTAGGCATTTGCACAAATTCATGCCGTGCTCTTTTCACCTTCGTACAGGACTTGCCGTTCTTTCCTGGGTTTTTGAAAAGCAATTCATCCCTTCTTCAAAATGTGATTAGGTCAGTGAGGAAAAAAAACGATGTGGAGAATAGGCCATGCAGAAGGTGATCAATTAAAAGATTAAGCGTTTTGCAACACATGGACGCATCTGCATTTGGCCCTAATAGCAGGGCCATCAGCTCACTCACAGGAAGCCTGCCGCGGCTGAAAGCTCCTCACATCAAAGACCCTCGTCTCCCCGGGCTTCCCAATGGGCAAAAAGGGATGCTAATTTGGCCCCCTTCATGTATAGCAGCGAAAGACTCCTTCAATTAACTGGATTTCAATGGCGAAAAATGAGTAGGTGGGACCTAAAAAAGATGCAGTGACTCAGTCTGGATAGGCAGCGTTTCTCATTAAATTAAAAAGGGCTCTGTCTGAGGACTTAACACTAAAAACACAGAGCTTCAAAGAGCCCATGATGGGTTAAATAGAGACTATAATCTAATTAAAATATTGCACAGAGGTAAATAGTGCTTTGATAATGATCTGAGGGTTCAATTAGTAAAATGAGCTGCTTGAGTGTTTCGTATTGGGGTGGAGTTTATATTAGAACATGGCTACAGAACCAGGACTGAGACCACATGAGGGGACCTTCAGAGTGTCATCTGTGATTTGAGCAGGACGTTCTACACTGTAAAAGTGGGAACACCAACAATTGGTGTGTGGAGTATTCTAGATGAAACGGTGTAATGCAGGTGTAATGGGGTAATGATATCTATATTTGATCACCTGTCTCTTCCATGAAAGATGTAGTGTGGGCATCAGTGGTCTGGGATGGTTGGGATTGGACTATGACGTTCTATCACTTAATGTCGTTAAAGACATGAGTCCCCAGGGACATTTACCTCTCCTTCAGCAAAAGGACAAAGTCTATTGTGCCATTATGTGTCTGATCATTTAGCATATTCAATAATATCACATCAATATTGCGTTTTATATATTGTTTATTGTGTGTGTGTGTGTGTGTGTGTGTGTGTGTGTGTGTGTGTGTGTGTGTGTGTGTGTGTGTGTGTGTGTGTGTGTGTGTGTGTGTGTGTGTGTGTGTGTGTGTGTGTGTGTGTGTGTGTGTGTGTGTGTGTGTGTGTGTGTGTGTGTGTGTGTGTGTGTGTGTGTGTGTGTGTGCTTCATCATTCATTCTCAGTACACTGAAGAATCATTCTAGCAGGTTGGATATGTCAGACAGTGTTCATCCCACAGTGTGAACATTTATTCGTGCAAAGCTGCTCTTTGGGGTGCCAAGTTAATAAGGATTTGATAAATATAATGAGTGCCAAAAATGTATTTTCATTGACGTGCAGCTTTATAAAATATCAACTGTTTCATCTACCACGTGATCACAGAGACTGCAGTCACTGGAACATGTGTCACAGGTGCTATACATGTTTGGGTACAAAGAAAATAATATAAAGATATGTTTTGTTTAGTATTTTGGAACATACATTAGCATAGATATTCCAAGTTCCAAAGTCCTCCCTGGGACTGTGCCACTGTCAGTGAGACGTCATTAAAGAGGAATCACACTGCTTTACCATGAGAACGTGTCAACATGCCGCTACAACAAACACCAGGCTGACCCAGACTTGAATGTATACATTACTAAGCTGTAGGTAGCTAATGATACAAGCATTGCAACAATGGGTCCAAGAGAATTGTAATTCAGAAGGCAGAACGCAGCCTAATCTAATATCACAGTGCTTTACACTGCAGTTCCTTTAACGGTCAGACACAGTTCTACATAAACTGCTCCTTCCTTTTTTTACAGTACACTTCAAGAAGAAGGTCCCAGTAGTTCATTCTATGTGCTTTGTCTTTGTTTAGTTTAAAAAATGTTGTGGCTACATTGACTCCCAAAATCTAGGCTCACAAGCTTTAGAATTACCATTGTAGAACTACATTCTAGCATCTATGGTTAAAACAAACACCAATAAGTCATACAATGCATTTCTTGTCAAATCAGACATGGTATACCCAGTACTGAGAGCAACACAGAAGCTAGCTAAGGCGGCCAATCTTTTCAGAAATGATATTTATCTATCTTTTGATAAATATTTTGAAAAACGTGCCAATATGTTTCTGGTAGTTAATATAGATTTGAAACTAGCCCTAGTAAATGAATGCAAATATCATAGTGTGTAGATATAAGGTCTCATATCAAATAGACGGCCTCCTTGCTTCAGACAGCATGAACCCTCCTGAAGAGTGCCACAGCCTGCTTTTCTTCTTCATGCCGCTGTCTAAGGACTTCCAGTGTGTCCGGTGGGGGGTGGTCCAGGCCCTCCAGGTACGGAGCGCGCTCAGTGGAGCCCTCGGACCGCTGCTCTCTCTGTTTGGGGGTTTGAGACGCCACAGGTTTGGCTATGGTCTTGGCATATTCCAAGGCCTAAGATTGAAAGAGAGGGAGAGAGAGATCATCAGATGTTAATGTAGTTACTAATGATAGAAATGCTACTCAGAAATGTCTGTAAAAACTGTTCACTGTGACCTCAAACAATGTCATGTTGTGTTTCTCTCATGTAAAGTACATAGTACATGGTTGTGAAACTCTCCTGATAAATAAAACATATATTACAGTAGATGCTATGACTCTCAGTATAGCTTCAATTGTTTTCTTGTTATAAAACATTTCAAAACTCAAGGTAAAATAGTGTATTTAGCTATCATCTGTGTGGAAAGATGGGAACAGTCCCACAGGATGCTGACATGCAGTAAAACCCCGGAGAGAGCTCAGAGCCTTGGTTGTGTTTTAGTATCACATGACCACATGACATCATCACATGACCACCTTCTGTCTGCACTGGAAAACTGAAACGTTGACTTTATTTACATGTTTTATGTCAACACATTTCACATAACTGTATTAGGTTAGTTGAAAGCAATAATATTAAGTTGAACCTAATATTAATACAAATATCATTTGTTTACCTACTGTTATTGCTTTCAACTAACCTCGTACTGTTATGTGAAATGTGTTGACATAAAACGTGAAATGAAAGTCAACGCTTCAGTTGGATTACCAATAAGTAACAGGTTAGTTGACCATAGTTATTCAATCAAA